ATTGCCATTTATCGCCTTCCTTACCTCCATCCATTCCTTATTCTTTTCTTTGAATTTTATGTGTTTACAACATGACCTCTTCCACTGCATTTCTTCTTGTAGTCTCTATTGATGTAATGTGTGGACTTTCAACAGCTCGTGTTAAACTTTCACTCCTTTTCCTCCTCCTCCAACAGCTGTCTCCTTGTCTCTCTCTCTCTCTCGCTTTTATTTCCACTCTCCCTTCTCCCCTTTTTGCTTCTGTTGTTGTGGTCGCTGCTGCTGCCACCTCTGACAAGGTCCGAGGAGGAATGGAGAGGGTGGGTTTTGGCCTGATTCTCAGATCAGTCAATGTGTACCTAAACAAGGCGTCACAGTTTAGAAGGTCTGTCTAACCTCCAAATTCCATCATTCAAACCATCAGCAAGGCAAACAGCAAGATGAGAAAGCAGAGTCCAGAATGTTTCCTGTTTACTTATAATTCCTCGTGAGTAGTATATCAATTATGTCCAAACTTACTTAGCAATTTCATTTAAGTGCTTAAAGAAGAACAGTTGGACTTTACTGTCGCTTCTCGGCGTTAACAAGTTGGTGCTGATCCACTTCCCCTTCTAAGAATGTCCATCCCACCAATTCCAGCGAAGAAAGCAAGACCAAAACAAGAAAGAAGGATGTCAGGTAAGTTGACACTTGCATGCCAAAAAAAAACAAAACCGATCATACATGAGGAGAAAAGGCAAAAAGAAAAAGGTGTTTATGTGGGTGTCCTTTTTAGATCCACCTCAATTCCTCAACGCATGGCAACACTCCAGGCATGGACGCAATGTCGAGCTAAGGATTTCACTGTCAAGTAAATGTCAAATGTATGAAAACAAAAAGTTTGATAAAATAGATAAGTAGGTGTGTCAATGTACGCTGCTCAACAATTACACCCTTCATAACCAAACTGTGCCTATTCAAGTCCAAAACTGTAAATCAGTCATCATTGTAATGCCTTGTTTTGGTGTCTGGTCGACTTTTGTGCGCATAAAGTGGCCTTTGGACCAAACCAAATGCCACTCTTTCAATCAACTATGATGCCTTTTTCCATCGAATGCGAGACCTCGAGACCTACCAGTTGCATCATTTGGGCTAACCTTCAACGTTGAGAGCATTTTTATCACTACTCCTCAACAAAAGGACTGTCAACGCCGCCTGCATTGAGGCTCCGTCTCATCTTCCCTTGGTTAACGAGTAACCACAGTGGCAACATTGTCGTGAGACATTTGAAAAGTCTCATTTTGCACTCTCCCTTACCGCATATTAAGCATTTTTTTTATTCTCTCACTTGTCGCATTTGATGCTCAGCAGAGGTACGCAGTCCTAATTTCCCCCTTTTACAGCCAAATGTAATTGCAGGTGCTGAGAATGCCAGAGACACTCTCTCAATCTTACACCAACTGACAACTCTCGCGACTTGTTTGTGGATATTGCCTTGAGAGGACTGAGAGGAGCGTCGTAGACGTAAGACGTGAAATTTCGTATTTACTTGACCATCTGTATGAAATAATGGTCATGGTTGTAATCGCTTACCTTCCCTTTGTGTGTGTGTGGACTGGTCTTGGGTCGCGTCAACGTCCAACCTCCTCTCCTGTGTCTTGATTACAACCTGTGGACTGTCGTCTCGATTTCAGCCTGATCCAC